GCCGAGCCCCGGGGCAGCCGTCTGGCGCAGCCGGGCCGCAGGGTGGGTGCGGGCACCTGCCCGCTGGTGACGCCCTGCCCAGCCCGGGGTGCCGGCAGGGCCCCGCGGTCACCGCCGGCCGTATTTCCTACCGCACCACTCCCTGGTGGGGATCTTCCCGCAGGTTACCCCGGGCTGAGTCAGAGATGGCGGCGATAAGGAGCCGGAGGCTCCGCTCCTCTTCCTTCTTCTCCTCCGAGCTGCTTATTTGCAGCGTCTGGGGCTGGGGACCGAGGGCTGAGCTCGTGGCCCGGCCGTGGGGGACCGAGGGTTGAGCCCGTGTCCTGACCATGGGAGCGATGGTCCCACCCTGGGCCGGGGGGGTTGTGATGGTATTGGTGGGACAGGCCGTGTGCTGGTACCGGGGGTTTGTACAACCCCACGTTAGCCCGGGGGTGCCTGTGGAGGGGGGTGGAGAAGACAGGAGCGGGGTGTAACGGTGAGCAGACACGGAGAGCAGAGCTGCAGTAGCTGCCTGCGACATCTCCTCCCCACTGCCGAGCTGGGGGGGATCTTTAGCTGCTTTGGCTGCTCCTTGTTGGAGATCCCCAGCCGTGGCACAGCAGCGTGCAGAGCTCTCCATCCTCCCTGCGCGTGCCCCCTCGTTCCTCTGGAGCCTCTCAAGCCGCCTGCCTGATGGCTGCCCTTGTGTTTCTTAATGCATATAAATGCCAGAAGGACGTGTTTCTCCTTGCCGTGCCCACTTGCTCCCCTCCTGTCCGCGGCCCTCCTGGGGTTTGTCAGGCAGGCAGGTGACAGGGATGGCAGGCAGCGCGCCAGGGCTCTCGGCTCTCCCAGCTCCTTTAAAAGGTGCTTTCGAGATTCCCCGCTCCGTGCAGGGCCTCGGACCGTGCTTGCTGAAAACTGGGTTTTTGCACCCGCTCCCAGTGCCGTGGTGGAGCGGGACAGGGGCAGTGGGCCAGGGGGCTCCTCTTGTGGCTTGTTAGCAGCCATCTCTGGCTAATGCTTCAGTGCTGTTGGTGGTCTTAAAAGCAGGTTGGGGCCAGCTACGCCCTGCCAAGGTGTTTGTGCACGGGGATGTGCTGGTCTGGTCCAGCCAGTGGCTGCAGGCCCGCTCAGGCGTGGGGGCTTGGGTTGGTGTGAGGGCAGGGGGATGCCTCAGAGGGGGCTGCTGGGGCTGGGGGTTGAGGCTGGGGTGGTGGGACGAAGCGCGTGGCTGGCACAGGCTGTGCGTGGCAACGTGTGACCCGGCGAGGTTGTCCTTAGCGTCTCGCAGGCTCCTGTGGCCCCTGCGCTGGGGACGTGTCTTCCTCCGGGGCAGGAGGCGGTGAGGGATGTTTTGTTAAGCCGCTAGAAAAGCGTGAAGCGGCAGAGTTTCTGCGGGGTGGGGTGGAGCGGGCTCGGCCCCATGCAGGAAAGCCTCCTAACGCCGCTCTTGTCTTTCTCCCTCTAGGGCTGACTGGAGTGGCTGTGCCCACGATGCCCTGAATGCCGAGCGCAGCAGAAGCAGAGGAGACTGTGTCCCGTTAGCTGCTGCTCCCTCCCTCCCTCATCCCTTTAGTTTGGGTTTGTTTCTATTTATTTTGTGGCTGGGTTTGGGCATGGCCTTGGCTGGGTGTGAGGCTGCTGCAATGTGGCTCCTTTGGCTCAAGCACCACTTGTCCATCAACGTTTGGACCTTGCTGCTCTTGGGGAGCACCTGGCTACCGCTGGCGGAAGGCAGCCCCAAGTCTCCCTTTAGGACATTCCCGGTTACAGACTGGAGCTTGACGCACTTGGTGGTCCACAACAAAACTGGGGAGGTCTACGTGGGGGCTGTCAATCGGATCTACAAGCTCTCCAATAACCTCACACTGCTGCGGACCCACGTGACGGGGCCCGTGGAGGACAATGAGAAGTGTTACCCTCCGCCCAGCGTTCAGTCCTGCCCGCACGGGCTGGTCACCACCAACAACGTGAACAAACTGCTTCTGGTGGACTACTCGGGGAACCGGCTGATCGCCTGTGGCAGTGCCTCCCAGGGTATTTGCCAGTTCCTGCGACTGGACGACCTCTTCAAGTTGGGTGAGCCCCACCACCGCAAGGAGCACTACCTCTCCAGCGTCAACGAGTCAGGCACCATGTCTGGGGTCATCATTGAGGTGCTGAATGGGCAGAACAAGCTCTTCATTGGGACGCCCATCGATGGGAAGTCGGAGTACTTCCCCACCCTCTCCAGCCGCAAGCTGATGGCCAACGAGGAGAACGCAGAGATGTTTGGCTTTGTCTACCAGGATGAGTTTGTCTCCTCCCAGCTCAAGATCCCCTCGGATACGCTCTCCAAGTTCCCCACCTTCGACATCTACTACATCTACAGCTTCAGCAGCGAGCAGTTTGTTTACTACCTGACCCTGCAGCTGGACACCCAGCTCACCTCGCCCGACTCCACTGGGGAGCAGTTTTTCACCTCCAAGATCGTCCGCCTCTGCGTGGATGACCCCAAGTTCTACTCCTACGTGGAGTTCCCCATCGGCTGCGTGCAGGACGGCATCGAGTACCGCCTGATCCAGGACGCCTACCTGACCAAACCTGGCAAGGCTTTGGCCAAGTACCTGGGCATCTCGGAGCAGGAGGATATCCTCTTCACCATCTTTTCCCAGGGCCAGAAAAACAGGGTTAAGCCTCCCAAGGAGTCTGTGCTCTGCCTCTTCACGTTGAAGAAGATCAAGGATAAGATCAAGGAGCGTATCCAGTCGTGCTACAGAGGGGAAGGGAAACTCTCGCTGCCCTGGCTCTTGAATAAGGAGCTGGGCTGCATCAACTCGGTAAGTTCCCGCTTGTCTCTACCCAAGCCAGGCTGTTCCTGGCTCCTGGTGGTTCTCTCTGGCCGAGCCTGGGCCGTGTTTTCCCAGTGGGAGGGCTGATGCAGCTCTGCCGACGGCACGGGGGAATTTGTGAGTGTCGTGTAACTTGGACCTTGGCGGTGACCAAGGGTTGGGGACGGTAGGATGTGGGTGAGCCCCAGCGGGGGAGCTCAGACCTGGCGGAGGGAGGCGGGGAGGTTGGTGATCCCGGCAGAAGTTGGTGAGAGGCTCAGCACGGAGGGACCCCATCCTCTCCGTGGGGCGCTGGAGAGGAGGGCGGAGGGCACAAAGCGCCGTCAGCGAGGTGGGGTTTGAGCGTGGCCAGGATGAACTGTTGTGCTGAGGAGCAGGAGGTGGGTGCTGAGCAGTGATTCCCAGCCGAGGGAGCGCTCCCCGCTGTCCCCGGAGATGTGTCCTCCTGCCTGGGGCTCTCCTGGGCCCATCTGGCCCCTGCTTGTGGCTCAGCTGCTCTCTGTGGGGCCGACGGGCAGTGGGGAGTGGGGGAGCTCCCCCCTCCTTGGCTCTCTGGGTTTGTTTTCCAGCTGAATGATTACTATAGCTGGATCTATTTTCCAGGCAATGTTATAAATGGTGAGCGGCCGCAGGGAGGCTCCGGCTCTGGGTGATGGGGAGATCTTCCACTGCTCATCACCAAGCTGGGCTGGGCAGTCGCCAGGCAGGGTCAGACACCCGAGAGAGGGCTTTTGGGGTGCCAGCGTTTGTGTTCGGGAGGGTTTGGTGGAGGTCTCGACACCCCTGCTATTGCCCACCTTCCCCCAGCCCCTCTTGCTGGTGCTCAGCACACATCACCAAGCCCCCAGCCCTGCCCGAGCAGGATTTTGGGTGTCTGGTGGTGCAGGCAGGTGGGTAGGGGATCCCTGTGGAGCAGCCTTGCTTTTCCTCCCGCAGCTCCGGAGGAGACAGCTAACAGCTGCCTGACAAAGTAAAGGGTTTGCTGTCAAGAGCGCTGGGCTCGCAAATCAGATTTTGGCTTTGAACTAATTCAATTTTGCTGGAAAATGATGAAATCGTTACACTGCTGCCTGTTGGGTCGCGCAGCTGCTGGCTCTGGCGGCGAAGATGCTCTCGCTGCTTCTTCCCGCAGTCCCAGCTCGCCTCTCCCAGCGCCATGCCCCCCGGTTGTGGGGAGGGGACTCTGCCCCCCTGCACTTTAGGGGTGGTTTCGTGCTCGGAGCGTCCTGGGACTGCTGCCTGGGATCCAGCCCTCACGAGTAGGTGGATCTCAAGGTGCTCTTCGGGCCCTGCGGACGTGGCTCTTGGGGAGCGGGAGGATGTGTGCCAGGACGGGGTGTCTCCTGCTTTTCAATGGGTTGGGTTGGGGGGTGCCGCCCTCCCCCAGGGGAGCCAGGTGATGTTTTCTGTCCCAGTCCTGCTCCAGCTGCCAAGTAGAGGCAGGAAAGGCAGGACTGGATCATGAGTCAAGCCCTCAGCCCCTTGCTGTGCTGAGCACAAGCCAAACCAGACCCCGTGGAGCATGTAACTTCTTTCTGGCAGGAATTTCTGTGCCCCTAATAAAATGCAGCCACCTCTGGGGTGGGTCGTGGCAGTGACAGATCTCTCAGTGGTGAGGGCTGGCCAGAAAATAAAGGGCATTTTTTTTTTTATTTGTAAGCAGGCAGAATGTAATTGCTCAAGTCAGTAGTTGCTTGGGATTTACACCCCATCCACATGGAAAATGTCCCAGGAGCTCTCATGCTCCTCTCCTTCGCGGCAGCAAGGGGCTGAGGCTGGTCCATGCTGGAGGGAGGGGGCTTTGCCAACACCCCACTCCCAGACCTCGAGCAGTGCGGGGCTGGGGGATGCTCATCCCCCAGCGCTGCAGGGCGGCTCAGATTCTCTGGAGCCGGAGCCAGGAGGAGAGGCCTCCAGGCTTGGCAGCCAGCTCGGGAGATGTTAGTGGTTCCTCCCCAGCGCTGGCGAGCGGAGAGAATTCCTGTCTCCTGTTTCTTTCTCTCCCCTTCTGGGATCCCGCAGTGGGAAGGGGAGCGGAGCCAGCTCAGGAGAAAGACCCTCGTGCCGGTGCTCTCGGACCCCCGAGCACGGATTTGCACGTGCAGCGAAGGGGGGACCTGGTCCGCTCCCCTGCGCCAGCCCCATCGCTCCTGAGCCGAGGCAGAGATTTTGCCGCTCGCGGGGTTTCAGTCAAGTGGGGTTCGGTGTGGCGTATCCCGGCTTTTTGCTTCCCCAGTGCAGCGCAGGGACTGGAGGTCTGCTCAGGGCATCCCAGAACGGGGGTACGAGGGGCTGCTGGAGCAGGTCTGGGGAAGGGCGGCGGGTTGGAGCTGGAGCAGACGTGTGGCAGCAGGGAGCGATTCGGGGTTCCCCGAGACCTTGACCCCGGGCTGGCAGCGCGGGCAGAGCCGACAGGACGTGGGCAGCAGCTTTCCCTGGGCTGCCCCAGGGAGAAAATGAACATTGAGTCCTTGGTGGGGTTTGGTGCCCAGCCTGGTGGCACAGGGCAGTGGTTGATGACAAACTGGCCCAAAATGGACCAGGATGAGCCAGATCCTTGCCGGGGACAGCCAGAGAAATGCGGGTCTTAACGAACTGCACCGCCCTGGGATTGTCCCTGGGCAGCGATGAACTGGGGGGGGGAAAGCCTGGCACGTGGGACCTGCCTCCTGCAACCCCCTCCCTGGCTCTTTGTGTCCCCCCACACCGCATCCTCTAGCCCCTGCAGGGGGCACAGGGCGATGGGGTGAGCCTGTAATGGTGTTAACTGGTGAATTACTGGCTAATTAATAACTCCGAGCGGCACAAGCCTCGCCTCTGCTGTCTGCTCCCTCATTGCTCCCCTAAGTGGGCTTGAAGGGAGGCAATGAGACAAGACATGTCAAGGAGACTCCCGCTCTCTCAGCGTGGGCCCGCTTTCCCCGCTCCTGCAGGCCGCTTCCCCTGGGAAATTCGAATTTCCTGACCCTATTTTGGGGAGGCAGTGCTGGGAGAGAGGAGAAGACTGCCATGCTGTGGAGGTGGGGGCCTGGGGGGCAGAGGGAGCCGAGAGGAGTGCCAAAAGAAAGCGCTGAAATAAAAGCCAAAATAATTTAGAAAAAAGAAAAAAGAAAAAAAAAACACAGAATAAACAGCCTCCCTGCTTGCAGTGCACTGAAGCCGTGGTCCCTGCAAACACCCATGCAAATGGAGAGCAGGCAGGGCTCGAAACCTCCCGCAGATCCCAGCATCTGCAAGCTGAACCGCTGCAAGGTCACTGGCCCTGGCGTGCCGTGGTGCGTGTCGGTCCCTGCTGACACCGAGCAGGGGCCAGCTGTCCCTCTGTCCCTCCGTCCTCCCATCCCTCCATCCCTCTGCCCCGCCTCTCCCCGCATCCCGCATCCGCCAGAGATGTGGGTTGGTGCCGTTATCCCCATACTGCTGCCCTTGGCCCGACCTCGCCGTGCTGCCTGCCTGCGCTTCCCTAACGAGGCAGTTTGCTGTTAATGAGCTAATTGTCGGCGTAATTATTTATCGAGGTGGTGTCGGCAGCGTAGCGGTGGCGACGCCGGGCGCTCCTCATGGTCCCGGAGCGCAGCTGTATTTGTCGTTTCCCAGAGAGTTTGTTGAGACAAAGCAGAGAGGAGTAAACACCATAAACATCTCTCCTCTTGCATATTCAGCAGCCGAGGGGTTGGGGAAGCTGCAGATTGAGTGTGGAGAGAGCAGAAACTGCACCCGGGGGTTTAAATACCTTCATGGCGCTGCCCTGAGCCCCTCTGCCGCTGGCGGCCGCCTGGAAGGTGCTGGGGTGCTTCACCGGCGCAGGGGGGCTGTCGGGGCTGCAGAGGGTGTTTTATCCCACCAAACTGCCTGAAGGATCCCAGGCATCCGGATGGGAGCTGGGTATCAACTGGAGCATCTCTTCCATCTCGCTCCGAGGTTGGGGAGCTAATTTTCTTGGATCTGCTGATTTGAAATGTCTGGCCGGGTGGTGCAGAGGAGGCTGCTTAGCGGCGTGTGCTGGCTGAGGGGTAGGAGAGGCCATCTGTGGTGTTCAGAGGACGGGTGGAGAGGGCTGAATTCCCTTTCCCCCCTTTTCCTGTGGTTGCAGAGGCACGTGGTCCTGTCTGGGGGATCCCCTCACGCCTGCCTGCAGGAGTTCCCCTAGTTTAGGGAAGGACGAGCAGAGGTCAGGCGGGGAAGGGAGCTGATTCAGCCGTGCTACCCCTGGCACCCAGCAAAACCAGAAGTTACCGCAACTGAGGAAGCGGCCCAGCACCCCCCGACTGCCCCGGGGAGGCCGAGGGCAACCGCCCGCGTCATTTGTATGAGGAACGGCTGAGGGAACTGGGGGGCTCAGTCTGGAGAAGAGGAGGCTGAGGGGAGACCTCCTGGCCCTCGGCAACTCCCTGCCAGGAGGGGGCAGAGAGGGGGGATGAGTCTCTGGAGCCAAGGCCCCAGCGCCAGGCCCCGAGGGAATGGCCTCAAGCTGCCCAGGGCAGGGTCAGGCTGGCTCTGAGGAAGGATTTCTGTGCAGAAGGGGCTGTTGGGCGTTGGAATGGGCTGCCCAGGGCAGGGGGGAGTCCCCGGGATCCCTGGAGGGGTTGAAGAGTCGGGCTGAGCCAGCGCTGAGGGGTCTGGGGGAGTTGGGAAGGGTCAGGGGGAGGGTCATGGTTGGGCTGGAGGAGCTGCGAGGGCTTTTCCAACCCAGATGATTCTGATTCTGTGATTCCCGCTCCTTCCCAGCTGGAAGGCTGGCACGGTGCTGAGTCCCCCCATTCCAGCCACCACTGGGACCACTGGCCTTGGCCGAGCAGCCTCGCTGTGGCTGCGGGAGCCTGAAGCCATCGGGGCTTTGAGTGCGTGGTGCTGGGGCACGGAAAAGCGCCGTGTTCTCCCTCCTGCCCGTGGGTGACTGCTGGGCTGGGCAGACCCTGGCTGTGTGGGGACTGTGGAGCTATGTCACAGAACCATCCGGGTTGGAAAAGCCCTTGCAGCTCCTCCAGCCCAACCATGACCCTCACCCTGACCCTTCCCAACTCCCCCAGATCCCTCAGCGCTGGGTCAACCCAAAACGTCCTGCCCTTGCGTACGTGGAGCTCAGGAGCTCGGCGTTTTCCCATATGCTTCACACACATGCTGTATGGATTTAAACCCCCTTGAGGACTGGCATGCATTTGGAGGACACTGCTTGCCAAAAAAAATCTCTCTCCTCTTTAAACTTAAAGTTACGTAAGGAGCCTTGTGAAGCGGAAGAATCCCCCGGCCGGAGCAGGCTGTCTCCAGGTCAGCAGTGTCTGCCTTGCCCCCCAACCTCCTGCACCCACCTCGCTGCCACCCGTGGGGGTTTGGCCCGAGCCCCTCGCTGCCGGGGCTGCTGCGGGGGGGGTTGCTGGTGCTGTGTGACCACATGAGAACATTGCCTAGTGTGGGACCTTTGAGAGGCCCCCGTGCCTCCCGTGCCCAGGGCCAGGGTGACGTGGTGGGGATGCTCTAGGGAGGGGGCAAGTGCTGTGGGGCTGGGCCAGCTCCCCTGCCTTCATCCCGGCTTTCACAGGGAGTAATTTTCTGGCTTTGCCTTGCCTGTTGGTGTGACCGTCCTCGCTGGAGGTTCCGAGGGCAGAGAGGGGTCGGTGCAGCCCTACCTCTGCCTCTCCCTGGGCAGAGATTGTAAAAACTTCTCCCAGAGCTGTGGGCGAGCACTGAACGGAGGAGGCAGCTGGCTGAGCCAGGCGCCTTGTCTGGGGCAAGGCAGCATGAAAAAAATGTGGGGATTTCCCCAGGACGTTCCTGCGGGAGGAGGCGCAGGGCTGGCAGGTGGGTAGTGTGTTTGCTGGAGGCTCTGCTGTGTGGAGCGAGGCTTGCTCAGGAGCCCTGACCTGTTTGTCTTGGCATGGCCTTGGCTGGGAAGTGTTTTGTCTCTGGGGGAAGGCTGAGGTGCGGGATTCGGCCCCTCCTGCCTTACTGCCAAGCTGTTTTCTTTCCGAAGCTAGCGTGGCGGTGAGGAGGAGAGGGGTGTGTGTGTGTGCTGGCACCCCACGTGTCTGGGATGGCAGCGGTGGGGATGGAGGGGGAGCGGGGATGCTGTGCTGGGTTTGTAAGTGCTGCTCGGTACGATGCAGAGGACCGAGAGCCTTGGCCTTGCTCTGCAAAGCTCGTTCAGACGCAGAGAAGGGGCTGCGTGCCTTGGATGTGTCCCAAGCGCCTTACGTCAGCATGTAGGGAATTTTAGGGAAGCATCAGCTCATCCCTTCTCTTGACTGGTGAGGTGGGGTGGCTGGGACAGGAGGGGCAAGGGATGGGGCTGCATTGGGGATGGGGTGGAGGTGGCTGGTGGCCGTCTGGGAGGACTAGCGTGTCAAGGCGTTGGCAAAAAGCTCACGTCTCCTCTGTTTTCTTCCAACAGCCACTGCAGATCGACGACAATTTCTGTGGCCAGGATTTTAACCAGCCGCTGGGTGGGACAGTCACCATCGAGGGGACGCCGCTCTTTGTGGATAAGGAGGATGGGATGACCTCGGTGGCTGCCTACGACTACAGGGGACAAACCGTCGTCTTTGCGGGCACGCGGAGCGGGAAGATCAAAAAGGTAGGAAAGCCCTCGGGGAGGCTGATGGGGAGCTCTGACCGCTCGCGTCGCCGGCTCTTTGGGGGTACAGGCAGGGCTGTGCCTCTGTCACACCGTGACTCGATATATTGGGGGTGATGTGCAAGGGGCGGGCGAGGGGCAATTTCCCCTCGCTCCTCTCTGCCAACTGAATTTGCAAAACTTTTGGAAGGGTTGTAACCTAGGGAAGTTGAGTCCTGGCTGCTGGTGGATCAGAGCCCGTCCCGTTGTGTCTCGGGGCAGGTGGGTTTGTGCCGTCGCTGTCACGGTGCCGTGTCTGGGTCCGTGTGGCTTTGCCACTGCCCTGGGCAGAGAGGGGGTTCTGATGGCTCCGGCACCGGGGAGACTTCTCTTCCCGTACCCTGCCACAGCACAAAAGGCTGCTTGTTGGTGGCGAGTAGGAAATAGCTCCGTGTGTGCCTTTCTCTGCCTGCATCTCCACGGGGCACGGATTTCCTGTTATCATAACATCGTGCCTATAATTATAGCTGTACATGCCCTGTATAAACACAGCTTGCATTAACGGCATCCTCAGCCGGGGAGAGGCAGCGCAAAGGTCCTCGAATGGTCCCTGCCAAGGGCAGGAGGACCAGGGCTTGGCCGGGGAGTCTGGCCTGTTGCTCTGTGCCTTGCAAGGTGCTCCAGCACCCTGTCCTAGGCACAGCACCCTGCATTTTTGCTGCTTCTCCTTCTCTGTACTGGTCAGGGTGCCCTAGAGGAGCCAGGGTGGTGGCAGGAATCAGGAGCAGGATGGTGTGGTGGGTGATACTCCCTGTAGGTCCCAGTGTTCCCCCTGGCCCCCTGTGGCCCTGCCTCTTACCAGTGTGTTTAGGGGCAGGGGAACACGGGCCGCGTGTGATGGGGTGGGGGGCAGGACGCTGGTGGTCCTCTCCAGCCCCATGTTCTCTGCTTGGCTTCCTGCGGTCCTGGGCGGGGGGGACACGGCGGCGCCAGGGCTGAGCAGGGCTGCGGGGAGCTGACAGAGGCAGCTCGTCCTCCCTTCCGGATCGATGAGGGATCCGCAGGGATGGGTGTCGCGTTGCTGGCGGCTTCTCCTGCCACTGGGCTCCAGATGGGAGGTTTGAAATGGGGATGGGGAGGAAGGAGCTTGTGGGAGGAGGGTTCACGAAGCCACAGGAGCAGTGTTACACCTCTAGTTCCATATTTATCTAGAGGGGCTGGCAGTTGCTTTTTACACGGCCGATTTGTTTTTTCCTCTCCCTCCTTTTTTCAGTTTTTCTCTGGTCTTTGCACCTTCAGAGCCTCTTGCAAGTGGCGATCTAGGGTGGGTGTCCGGCTGGGGCACGGGCTGCAAAGTCATGGCTGAGGCCAGGAGTGGGAGCCCAGGTGTGGTTTGAGCATCCTCCTCCTGCAGGGCTTTCCCCAGCTTTCTTTTTTGCTGGTTTCTAAACTCGATGCCCCAACGGGCTGCTCTGGTGCTCTGTCCCAGCAGACGACACAGAACAGGAGCCCCATGGGGGATGAAGAAGTGGGTCTCAGTCCTGCCCCAGTACAGGGATGCTGGGCAGGTTTTGTAGGCTCGTCCTGCCTGGAGCCCCTAAAACCCCTGGGGTCTCAGCGTGGAGAGCACCTCACAGGCTCTGAGCCTTGCGCTGCCAGGTCCCCCCCTTGTCCCTTGCTGTGACCTTGGGGTGGGCAGCCCAGCCTTTCTGCGGCAGCCCCTGCCTGGCCTGCCCGGCAAAGCGCTGCCTCAGCAGCTACCTGATCCTGCTGCCTGGCTGCCGGCAGGGCCAGAGGGAGGGGAGGGCTCCCCCCTGCCTGGGGACCGTGAGAGGGGGGCTGCTGACCTGTCCCCGAGTGGTGCCGATGTGTCCCCTGGCAGGGGTGCAGCAGCGTGGCTGAAGTGGTTCCCCAGGCAGAGGGTGGAGGGGGGGGTGCATCCCTCAGCAGCAGTTTCAGTCCTTCTGCTTTTAAGCCATCATCAGCGTTTCCCATTCCCTTGGCAAGCACCTGTGATAGGCTTGGTGCAGCCTGGTGGCTTCTGCGCTCTCCTGCTGGTCCCCCTGCTCTTGTTGGCACCCCCGGCATCTCCTGTGGG